CAAGAAGGCTAACTAACCTTCAGATAAGGAAAACAGCAGTGCTGAAAGGCAACTGCGAAAGCAAACACATACTGTAACAAATACTTGGAGAAATCAATACAAGAAACACGAATATCAATTTATTTATTTTTTATAAGGAAGAAACACGAATATCAATAACAATCAACAAATGGACGAAGCACAAAAAATATAGGATAGTAACCTAGAAAAAGGATATGAGAAGACAAAGAAAAAGGGCATACCTCTAAAGGGCTGCAAGTGTAGGCAATCAAGTTACCAAGTGAATTCTATATAAAGAACAAAAGAGTTGACTGGATTAAAGTACGATTACAACAACAACAACCCAGTATAATCTCACTAGTAGGGTTTGGGGAGAGTAGTGTGTACGCAGACCTTACCCCTACCCTAGGATAGAGAGGTTATTTCCGGTAGACCCTCGGCTCCCTCCCTCGAAGAACTCCTCATCTTGCTCTTGGGGTGACTCGAACTCACAACCTTTTGGTTGAAAGTGGAGGGTGCTCACCACTAAAGCAACTCACTCTTGTCTTACATTATAAACCATTGTGGTTATATATTGAGTCAAATCCAGGATTTGAAGCTTATGGATTACTATAGCAACCTCAAGTTAATATACAATAATAACGGGTTGACAACCAAATATTTATGGATATTTTTTGTGGATTTCTTTATACATATATATGATCCGGGTAAAAACTACATGTGAACCCATTGGTTACACTTTAGGCCCGCCTCTGACTATATAGTCACATTCACATTAGCTGGTTTATGGAGACCGGAGATTAATAAATCAAAGAAAGAAGTGAAAGACAAAGGACGATGACATACCTCTAGTGACTGAAATGGTGTCTTCAATCATGTTACCAACAATTAAATTTAATATAACGAAAGAATGACTTTGACTTTAAAAAATGGGATGACAAGTTCATTGAGGAAATATAATATTATACCACATGGGTGTTAATATATATTATAAACCATATTGTTTACTCTCAAGTAGCTGATAGGCAAATTATATTAGCTAAGACATGTCTTATCTTGTAACCAAAACATTTTAGAGTGAACAGAAGAAAATTCAATATATAGAAAGAAACACTGGACTTCATAGAAATGGGGTTTCATCTGGGGAAGAGTGTTTATCTATATTATTTGAGGATTGTACAATATAATATAAGAAACCATGTTAGTTAGCAACCAACCACTGGCTTAATCAATTAGCTGGTTTATCAGAGAGTCCAATTCCTTTTTTTTTTATAAATTCCTTTTTTGATTCTCTTCCTTCAATCTCACCCTTACACTATGACAACTACGAAGCCAAGGATCGCAATTTGACTATATTTGGTAGAACAAATAGGTGTAATATTGAGATAAAATTGAGTAGTAATGGGAAATAAAGAGAAGGGAAAAAGTTCAAAATCACCTGAACTATTATATTTACTTTGAGCTCCATCAGGCACATTTTGTTCATTAAAATTGCACGTAAACTGACACTTTTCCGGCTAGAGTAAAACAGAGATATGAACAGGTCTGGGGTCAAATTCAAAAGCTTCTTATTAGTTTTTTTTTTTCGCAACCACCGCTGCCAGCTTGCCACCACTACCACCACCATCAAAAGTTTCTCCTCTTTTCTTGTTTCGGGTCTTATTGAAAAGCTCGTCCATTGCTCAAAAGATTCAATAGCTTCATTGGATTATTAACTCACGGGGTTAGGAGAAGAGTCCCACTTAAAATCTAGCTTGTGTATCAATTAAAACAGAATAGGGTGGAGGTGTGAGATTTGTTCGCCGGAGAGAGAGACTAGGACGGATGCGGAGGTGGAGACGGGGAAGTTGTTTTCCGGCGGGACCTCCGACCAGGTCAGTAGATCGGCGGTGGAGGTATGGGGCATTCGCACAGGTATTGCTCTCTCCATTTGAGTCTGGCTGGCAGCTGAAGAGTGTTGAGTTTTTCTATTTCTTTTTTTTTTTTGTTTTTTTTTCTGTTTTTCATATATTTTTATTTTATTACATTAAAGTTATTGAGTTTTTTATAAAGAGAAAACTAATTAATCTACTAAGTATTTTAGAAAGTCATTAATAGATTTTTGCAACCTAAAAATCACTTAACTTTGATTATATTACGAAAAAATCTCAAAGTAACTCGCAAATTTAGTATTGTCTATTATAATTAATAATATGTCTGGTCAAAGAGGTCAGAACTGCTTAATTTCAAAAAAATATATATATATATATGGAGAATACAGTGTTTAATCAAAATTTTAGATTAAAAAAATACTATTGTTATTGAGTAGTAGCAAAAATTAGTTTTCAGAAGCTAATATAAAGTAATAGTAGTAGTTTTTTTTTCCTAAAACACTTTTGAAACTTTGCCAACACAATTAGCAAAAGTATTTTTTAAATTGATTAGTCAAACAAAATTATTACTCTTCAAAATTATTATTTTTTTTGTGCAAATTACTTGGTACTTTTCAAATAAGCAGAGACTATTACATAAGAAAGGTAGTTTTCCAAGACACGGGATTTTGAAGCATAAATACAAAAAGTTTGCATAATCCTTAGGTAGCTCATTGATGATTACTTTGAGGGGTACTCCGCCTTACAAAACAAGCAAAACTTATTGGGTGAAATTTAAATATAGCAAGATTTATAACTGGTAATTGAAAAATAGTCATTGTTTCAAAATTAATCGAAATTTAGCCATTTTCATGTAAAGATAAATCTGAACAAAAATACTGTTCAAAATCCGAAAATATTCTACCATAATATTCTTGAGTTTGAATTGTTTACATGTTTCAAGTACCTTGGGTCAATTATTCAGGGGATGGGGAGATAGACGAGGATGTCACACAACGTATAGGAGTCGGGTGGATGAAATGGAGGTTAGCATCTGGAGTCCTGTGTGACAAGAAAGTGCCACAGAAACTTAAAGGCAGGTTCTATAGAGCGGTGGTTAGACCGGCCATGTTGTATGGGGTTGAGTGTTGGGCAGCCAAGAATTCTCATACCCAGAAGATGAAAGTGACAGAAATGAAGATGTTGAGATGGATGTGCGGGCACACTAGGCTGGATAAGATTATGAATGAAGATATTCGGGAGAAGGTGGGCGTGGCTCCCATGGACGACAAGATGCAGGAAGCGAGGCTTAGATGGTTCTAGCACGTGCGAAAGAGAAGCATAGATGCCCCGGTTAGGAAGTGTGAGCGATTGGCATTGGCAGGTACGAGGAGAGGTAGATGGCGGCCTAAGAAGTATTAGGGTGAGGTGATCAGGCAGGACATGGCGCGACTTCAGATCTCCGAGGACACGACTCTGGATAGGAAGGTGTGGAGGTCGAACATTAGGGTTGTAAGGTAGGAGGGAGTCGAGCATATTTCTATGTTGTTCCGGGGCGAAGCTAGCCTGATAATGTTTCGATGTGGTTTGTTAGTGGTTTACGTAGTTTCCTCACTATTTCCTATGGCATTATTGCTGCTTATTGTTATTGCTTTTACGTCTATTTTTCTGTTTCTTACTATGCTGATACTATTTTTCCGGCTTCTATTGTTGTCATTGATCTATTGTCTATTATTTATTTTTATTTTTCTTGAGCCAACGGTCTTTCAGAAACAGCCTTTCTACCATCCGGGATAGGGGTAAGGTCTGCGTACACTCTACCCTCCCCAAACCCCACTTGTGGAATTTTACTAGGTTGTTGTTGTTGAATTGTTTACATATGAACTTTCAGCATAATATGCTGGAATTTTATAATGTGCTGGAGTTCTATCATAATATACTGGAAGTTTATATGCAGGAGTTCCATAGTCCAGCATATTATGCTGGAACATTTCGTGTGCTGGAGTTCCAACATAATATGCTAAACGTTTATACGCATGAGCTCCATAGTACAACATATTAGGCTGGAACTTTTCGTGTTTCGGCAAAACAGTGATTATTTTTCAATGACTTTGCTAATGTTAATTATTTTCCAATTACCAATTCAAAAAGACTAGCCCTTGCTATTTTGACAAACTTATTGGTTTAGTTTGCTTTTAATGTTTGAGTAGATACTCTGTCAAAAGTAGCTCCTAAAGTTTTGTTAACTCCCAATTACGATTTGCCTCCAATTAGCCATTTTAAGTCTTACGTATTGCAGTCAACATAAATTAAAATTATTTGGGGATATTATTGAGAGTCACTTTTGTTATGGAATACTTTATTCTATTGTATGGTGCAAATTCGAGTTTAGTCGAACCCAAATACAATTATTGAATAGAGCTTAGATTACTATTAAGCTTTTTGCACCACATACATCTTAAAACAAACTTTTAAAAATAGAGGAATTTTAGTAGGCGTTTGTCCACAAAAATCTTGAACTTTTTAGTGAGTAATATCCAAATATTTTCTTACTAAAGTCAATTCATTGCCCGAACACCAATCCAAATATTTCCTACCAAGAGGTCAACTTCATTGCCCGAACACGATTGGTGCTGACCACAATAGGTGCTACAATATAGCAAGAGGGGGCGGGTATAATCTAGTATCTTCACAAGCTTATTGTCCCAAAAGAACATGCACCTCTGTAAAATCACTAACTTGCTTAAAATGCTGTGATTAGCAAATAGGGTGGCCAAAATGTAAGTCCTTTGTCATATAACAGTATTTTCTTAACGCAAAGCTTCTTTCACTTATTTCAGAGTAAAGCTTCTACAATATAAAGCTCAAGAAATCTTGAACATCTAAAACTGGAACGGAAATTGATATTGCAATCTATTTATCAAATACTTTATCGGAAACAGCCTTTCTACCTCTCACAAGATAGGGGTAATGTCTATGTATACCCCACTTTCTCCAAACCTTGTGAAATTTCACTGGGTATGTTGTTTGTTTATCAAATACGTCGTTGTGCTTCGCCTGGGATCAATGGTGTCAACCTACCTAAGGGCCGATGGACCACAACTTTTATGATTCAACTAAATCCAATATTTTAGATACGAAGCATGAATATGTATATGAAAAATCACAAACATTTCAATAAATATTAAATTCTGAATCCATAATCTCAAAGATATAATGAGTTCAATGCAAATTTTTTAAAGATTGAACCCATCAAAGTGTACATTCTGGATATGCCTCTGAACCTACCCGAGAATAGTGTATATGAAGTCTACTCATCGAACATACTCATAAATCCACCAAGAAATCCAGCACCGCTGCAGTCACCACATAACATATCTTTTTTACCTCTGAAGAAAAAAAAAATTGCAAACATGAAGGATATGATTAATCAGACGGCATTGCAGCATTATTCGACTTGCTTAAGAACAAAATTACAATGTGAAACCATAATCATCAAAAGAACAAATGATAGTACAAGCACCTGCACAACCAACATAGTCCACCAGCTTTGAACCGTTGAAATGATCAACAGAGTTAACCCCTGTACCTTGACATTGTGAGCACAACACTGCACCTGAGAGCAATATAGCATTTAAGAAACAGAAAGTGCTGAGCTAAATCAAAGTCGAAATGGATGATTTCAGGTCTGTGTAACCAATATGTATATATCTATTTCTCAAATAATCATGAACATAAATAATAAGTATAAGCAAGAAAAATAACCATAAAGGCAAGTTTAAGTATGTAACACGGCAAAGAACCAGTAAGGCTGCAGCATCAACAAAAGTTCTCTGAACTAGGAAATTCTCACCTAGATACATTGTTATTGTCACATAAAATTTGATGTATAATTTGACAGAAGTTCATAAAAAGGCGGTTCTTCCATCTAGTTCTCAACATCAAGAGTCAAATTACACTACTCCACCAGATGCAAATATCATTTTAATAAAAGAAATTCAAAGCAGAGAGGAAAAAACAAACATTATGCTGATGTAATGCTTTCGCTAGTACCTGGAGCTTACAACAAGAAGTTGTTTGACGTAGGAGTTCTACAAAATGCTTGGTTTCCACTCACTCACTCTCACCAGAGGTGCAAATAAATGAATGATTTTTTAGAAAACCAGAATCTTTATGAACTTTCATTTGACTGCAGATGCTGAGTTCAGGAACACAGGATTAGAAAGGTCAGAAAGTTTAGCAAAGGATTATGCCAACCCAGAACCATCAACTCCCGGTCTCAACTATGCTCGTTACTTAGAGGAACTATCAGAAAAGGATTTGCAAGCATTTATTTGCCACTTCTTACAACACATACTTTGCGCATTCACCTGGAGATCGCGTAATAGGGAGAAAGGTCAGTAATGTGTTAATTTAGGCGAAATACATAGACAGCCCTTAAAGTTGGCTCCAATTTTCATTTTGATACCTCAACTAAGGTTAGTACCTATTACACAATTTAGCTATACTCAAGATGTGCCTATTAAACCCCCACGGCTGACATGATATTAACCCCCCCACAGCTGAAAGAGCCCTAAAAAATAAAAAATAATTGAGTTGTCAAAATGAAAACTAGAGCCAACTTTGAGAGGCTATCTATGAATTTGGCCCTTAATTAAGTTTTTATCTCAAGCTAGAATTTCATCTTGAAAATCTGGAATGAGCAGAAGTTTAGCTAATTCTTAAGTTATCATGTGAAGGGGCTCCGACGCCAAACTGTCACGTCGAGAACACATTATTTTGGTTCCCAATAAATTCAGTCATTGCTCCCGTTTATATAGATTCATATCCTCATCCCCTCTTCATATTTTTCTTTTCTCCACTGGAGGTGCGTTTAAACATGGATGCAAGTGGAAGTTGTACAGTAACAAACAAACTAAACAGTGTCGCATGCATGAAGAATTGAATAGATAACAACAAAAAACATGCACCATGGCACCTTCCCTTGGATGTGACGCGTCAGTACGTCTATCGCCCAGGCAAACAAAAAAGGGCTGAGTGACGCGTCAGTACGTCCATCATCCAGGCAAATAAAAAAGGGCTGAGTGCCGACCCCTGGTACAACCCCATCACGACTGGGAAATGATCTGAGTCCCCTCCCACTATGCTCACCCAAGTCTTAACTCCATCATACATATCCTTAATCACCCTAATGCATGCAACAGGTACTGACCTCTAGCCTCCAAACACGTCCACAGAACCTCCCTCGAGACTTTATTGTAAGTCTTTTCTAAGTCAAAAGAATTGAATTGTTCTCCTTAGAAAATAGTTGGCAGACATAAAATTTCCCTATTAAGCTGGAGATCAAATCCTTTCGATCTCCAGTCATTACAATCTCTTTCGCAAACTAAACACCGTTTCAAGGCCTGGTTGCCAGCTTGTTGTGCACACTATTGCAATGTTTCAAAGGTAAGAAGAAACAATGAATTCGTTGGGGCTTTCAGTGCAAAGCACAAATACAACACGAGCTTTAAGGAAGAAAGGCACAAATGAAATAAAAAAAGTATACATGTAATAAGTATAAGCACAAATAACAATTGTATGAACGATGGAACTAAAAGATACAATCAAGTTAAACAGTCATTGTTAAGTGATGCACTCCTCAAGACAGATTTCATGGGTAAAGAGACGCACCTTAACCTAAACCGAGGCACTACCTAACTGAGGTGCCTCAAACTTCTAGACTTTAGCGTGCCTCAAACGAACCTCTAACTATATTATTGTATCAATGTGATTTATCATGGAATATTTTCACTTTCAAATCGTTCAAATCATGCACCATAGAGATAATTGTATGCTTTAGTCAGCTTCTTGTGCATAACAAGATTTCATTACCTTACTCTCAGTCCAAATAGTTACGAGTAACCTGTTTGGTTTCTACCTATCACATCCCAAATGTAACATGAAAGGCACCCGATAGGCCTAAACTTCAGGTGAACCATAACATTTTAGACAGCCTTCAAGCAAGCATTACCAGTATCTAATGAAAAATCAGATGAAGTGTTCCCTGTAAGACTATCCATAATTTAAAGTCTCAGCTAAACACGTAACAACAACATGCATCAAGAGTTGCCCATTACACCATATAATATGTCCCAACATCAAATTTATAATATCAATAAACCATAGATGAGGCACAAAGTTTTGGATATGACCCCGATATATATAGCCGTAAGTGTCATGGGTAGTCAACAATATTCGGCTCTCATTGTTTTCACTTGGAAAGCATTGTCTCACGTCATCCCATGCTTTACTGCTCCACATGTCATCCAAGACTACCAAAATACCCCTTTCCCTTTAAACTTTTTTGTAGCATGTCGGCTACCTCTGCCTCATCTTCCTCTTCCATTTCAACTATGTCACAGCACATTGTAGAAAGCAGAAGGCTTAGCAATATTTCTTTTACATTGTATTGGCCAGATAGAGTAGCCCAGGCACGAACATCAAAATGAGAACGGATTGATAAATCATTGAAAACTTCTTTTGCTAAAGTTGTTTTACCTATGCCTCCCATCCCGGCGATAGGGATGACTTTGGGTTCACCAGAGAAGCCTCTAGTCAGATCTTCTAGAAACCTTTTCCTTTCATCATCACGTCCCACCATATTGTTCTTAACATTCAGGATATCTTTTGCCGAACTTGAATCTTGAACCAACGATTCCTTTAAATCTTGTTTGCCTTTATCTTGAATCTTTGATGACTCTTTCTGGACACGGTCAATGTCCTCTACTACTTGTTGCAGGCTATCACAAAGTCTCTCATGTGCCTTTTCTTTCTGTATTTCACCATTTGCCATGACAGATTCAGTTAGTCTTTGTTGAATTGTAAGTTCAACAACATCTGCAACTTCTTTTATCTGTGCTTCCATATCAGTCATCTCCCTAGAATAATTGCTTTTCTCGAAATTCTTGACAAATGCTCCCAGGGAACTAATTTTTTCATGAAGAGCTAGAAAATTATCTCTATGATCACAAATTAGAGAATTGGATGTCAAGAGCAGTTCTATTGTTCTTGTAAGAGAAGTAACACTAGCATAAGCCATATCTACTGTTTTCCAATTATAACCTGAAAGCTGCAAGTTGCAACAAGTCAATGGAGGCTAAAAATGAAAACCAGACCTAATGTAAGTGCAATAACAAAGCTTTAATCTCAACTATAGTTTATATTGTCTATATGAATCTTTATGTTCATAAGGTTCTATGCTTAGCTAAAATCAACGATAATTTCAAAATACTGTAGATCTTTTGATACAATATCTACCTACTGTCCACACGATTTTAGGTCTACCTAGTGTCATTTTAGAACCTCTAGTTACACCTATGTACTAGTGCACTGCATGGTCAAACTATCTCTGGCAACATTCTCTAGATTTACCTCTATATGTGTTGCTTGCATCCTTTTTCTGATATGGCCGTTCCTTATCTTGCCCAATCTATTTATGGTCTCACATCATCTTAGCATCGCCTTTTAGACAACGCTAGCTCATTTGTGGATATACCGGACCCTAGATGTCCAACATCACACCCATATAGAACTTGCCTTTCACATATCATTCTATCTTAAAACACTCCCATATTATTCCTCCCTTTCAACGATCATATTGTACTCTTACGTGTTACAACTTTATCTATTATGCCATTTTAAGGGAAGACTGAGCTTAAATATCTAAACATTCCACATTTAGGCAACGTACAGTCAACACGCTAGGCCCACTTCCTAGGCTCTATTTTTGTACTGTACAAATTAAACTTAGGACTTGGATGGAATCCAACATATTTATATTTCTTTATTTATTACCAGTTAAATACTCGATATGAATCTCTATCTCTATGCATTTTCCAAAAGCTAGAATCTATCCTAATTAAGAGTAAATTTCATAGGTGGTCATTCAGCTTTGTGTTATTACCCAAAGAACTTGTTTTTTCTACGGTGAAAGATACTCGAGAAAAGTAAAAGCACATTGTTGCATCAATGGATCACATAGTCAAAGATGAATACTCCAGTGAAACATAACTGCGAAAACTAAACCAATAGATCACCAATATAAATGCATATTTATTGTTTATAAGCATCTGTTACTGAAATGACTTTACCAGCTAGATTGAGTGTGATCGTGTCAACCATCGATCTCCTCCTCCTCCTCCTGCTCCTCCTTCTCCTTCTTCTTCTCCTTCTTATTCATAATCATCATCTGCAGAATGGTTGGGAGAAACTGAATGAAGTCACATAAGTAAAATATCGTGGGGTCTTTTCTTTATAAGACCCAAAACTACAATTCCCACATTATAAATCCTTATGCACTAAAGGCCCCAAATCTTCAAAGGCAAATAGTCATCTACAACTACAATACATATTAACCACAGCTAACACCATTTTGATCTGTATTGCTTTCTAACTTTTTCTTATCAAATTAATTTATTTGGTCATTATAAAAGATACATACACTTTAAGTTTCCAAAGCAAATATTGGAAGTTCATTCTGGAATATGATATATTATACTCACCTGGATCATCGTACAAAAAACATCAACAGGTTCATTTCCAAGGTTTTCATGCTATTCCTGAAATTTCTCAGCAAAAGCCACGAGAGAAGAATCTTAAACTCTATAGGAATCTTAAAGTCCTTGGCTAATATTCTACTGAATTAGATTCAGTTATGCTTTTGTAGGAAAGAAACGTGACGGGTCAATTATAAATTTGAGAAGCCACAACCATCTACACCAGCCTTAAGGGGGGAGATAGGTGAGATCCATCAATTTCAGTTTAATTATGTACTTCTAAAAGATTTTTATTCTAAAAGATTTTTAACAGTGAATCAGAAAATTTATGTATATGTAGCATTATAATTTTTTACATAAACTACGATGACTCTGTGCGAGAAAGGAAACAACTGAAGTTTTTGGAAGCACAACTGAAGCCTCTAGAGGGAACTCAAGGTATAGAAGACATAAAATTAAGTGTGAACAGTTTGACTATAATACACAAAAGTACAAGTATTACTTAAGATGTACTACATACGTGATACAATGTGTGAAAAGATTGACTACAACACAAGCCTTTGTGTAAGAAACACATACTATATATAGATCCAAATGCAAGGGAAGCCCTTAAGCTTCAAAAGGCAAACACACAAGTACCCGACCGGTCATTTTGAGCAATTTGCATTTCGCTCGGTAGTTTGAGGGCATGAGTAGCTCCGTATGATGTATTATGACTTGGGTGAATCGTCGGTTTTGGTTTTCAAGTTATTCGGAATCGATTTGGAAGAATAAATTTCATGATTGAAGCTTTAAGTTTGAAGAGTTGACCAAGTTTGACTTTTTAGTATTTGACTTAGAGTTTTGATGGTTCCGTTAGGTCCGGATGGTGATTTCGGACTGGAGCGTATGCCCGGATTTGCATTTGGATATTTCTCGAAGGTTTCGGCGCTAATTGGCGAAAGTTGGAAATTTTGAAGGTTTGGAAAGTTCATAAGTTTGACCGAGAGTTGACTTTGATGATATCGGATTCGGATTGTGGTTCCGGGAATTGGAATAGCTTCGTTATGTCATTTGGGACTTGTGTGCAAAATTTGAGTTCATTCCGAGTTGATTTGATATGTTTCGGCGCGAGTTTTGGAAGTTGAAAGTTCAAAAGTTCATTAAGTTTGATTTGGGGTGCGATTCGTCGTTTCGATGTTGTTATACGTGATTTGAGGCCTCGAGTAGGTCCACGTTATGTTATAGAACTTGTTGGTATATTCGGACGGGGTCCCAAGTGGCTCGGAAGAGTTTCGAACGAGGTTCAGATCGTTTGGATCATTCTTGGTTAAGGCTGAGGGCAGGTCTGTTCTGGTGCGACTGCATCTGCGGAGGGCTGAACTCTGTTGGGGTACTTAAGAGGGAATTCAGCGGCTTAGGGGCCTTAGGGCGGTGTGGTTTATGCTAGGATCTCGTGGGGTGAGTTTTGGTTAAGGATCGTGGTGTTCTGGCAAGGAGAAGTGTCAACTTGAGGTAATTCGAAAGGAACTCGGAGAAATAGGACAGCTTGGTAGTAGGTTGGATCAGCACGGTAATGGATATGATCGGTTCTTTGGGTACTTATGATGTGGTGAATCCCTACAGATGTTTTATGGCAATAATCTTGGGTTTGGCAACCTGCGTGGCTTGGTTGAGTTAGAGATATTGAGTTCTGATGACTTGGTTATGTTCAAATGGGTTTCAAAGAGTTCTCGATGGTTTTTACCACGGTTTGAGATGGATATTTCCTACCGGCGTGAGGAGCATGTTGTGTATTGTGATTTTCTCCAGGATGGGATCAAATGGAAGGTTTTCGACTGACCGAGTATGTATTCTGCTTGTGACTCAGAGTTGATTGTGAGATTCTCGTACTTTTCATATGATGACATGATAGATGCGATGTCCTGTGTGGGATTGAGATTTGCGTGTGCAAGGTCACGGTTTAGTTTTGAAGGGAAGGTCATAAATTCTTAGACAACATGGATGGTTTCCGATGTTTAGATGAATGCTATAACTACTTGGTATTGCCTGAGAAGGGTGAGCATCCAGAAGTCGCACTGAGTTTTGACTTACGGATGCTTCATTGGTATTGTGGTACTCGCCTGGTTGATCGACTGCTGATATTCATATTTTGCTATGTGGCATGGAAGAATTATTGAAGTATTCCTCGTGGGATGATCGTTTATGAGAGATGTGCTAGACAATCGGGCAGTGGAGTTGGGATCAGATATGGCGATTCGTGTGTTCTATGAATTTGGAGACTGGGAGTTCTCAGAAACAGATTGTTTCGTGGTTGTGGACCGTGAAGATGTGGCCAAAGCTAGCCAGATAATAGCATGCGTTATGGTTAGGTCATTGTGGACTTTCGGAAGGTTAATTATCTATTTGTGGATGACCAGGATTGATTTGGAGGCTCATTGGTAGGCCTAATGAGGATGTGTACTTTGTACTGCTATTGTTGAAGGATGTGACATTCGGCTAGAATTGATCTCATTCGTATCTGGTATGTTCCATGTACTACTCTTCTATGCTACGAGGGTTTGTGATTTATTGGTTATATGCACACATTGTGCGGTTCTGTTTGGGGCCTTGTAGCGGAATCCGAGCGAAATGGTGATTGGGGTATGGAATGGTCGATTGCGCCTTGGTTTTGGCCTTTTTCCGGTTGTGATGTATTGTGTTGTTTGCTTCTCCGTAGTTATGGTCATGCACTTCGTGTACTAGATGTTGAATTGCGTGTGGTTGCTGATTTTGAGCATTGTGGCTTGAGGTATTTCATAGGACCGGTGTTTGGATGGGGTCACGCCTTGCAGCGGAGTTATATTGGGATATGATTCTTTGTGTCAGATTCGTGTGTCTTGGTTCTACTACGTATGATGGGTTCATAGCATTGCTATTGTGGTGGTACTTATTGAGCTTGCGGAACAGTTCTCTCATTTGAGTCATTTTTCATTTCTGGGTGCATGGATTGTTGCTTATTGGTGCACGGATTGCACGGTTTGTGGCTTTAGGTTGTATTGGTGTGGCATGTCGATAGAATGATTGTGTTTGATGAGCTGAGGTCATTAGGCCTAGAATGTGTACTATCGGACTTGATTACAGTATGTATGGAGGAATAATATCGGAAGTCGGCTTAGAAATTGGCTATAGTTCTGGTCGAAGGAGAGGGAACTCCATGACTTGTTGACCTGATGAGTGGTTATGAGTTTCTGCGTGTTTCTTTCATCATCGGCAGTGTACGAAGGTTTTCAATGAGGTTTTATTTGACATGAGGTTTATTACCGGTATTAGGTTTGTTTTTGGCAGCTACAGTGGTCAGAAGTTATTGCTATAAGCATCTGAGTTATGTGGTATATCGTGTGATGGCATCTTGGGCTTTGGTTAAGGCTTGATACAGCTAGTTCAGACTTATACAGTATGTAGATGAGAGATTCGGGTCTTGTAAGGAATTCCGAATCTTGGAAATTGGATTCCAAGGCTTATGGGCTAAGGTTGAAATAAAGATCTTCAGTTATGTTGTGAAGTCAGGGTTATATGGATTAGGGTGACGTGGGATCAACCCCGAGTACGTGCATGGTAAGGTTACACGACGATTTGATGGCTCTGGAACGACTCTGGGCATGATCGAGGACGAACGTATGTTTAAGTGGGGGAGAATGTAACGACCCGACCGGTCGTTTTGAGTAATTTGCACTTCGCACGGTAGTTTGAGGGCATGAGTAGCTCCGTATGATGTATTATGACTTGGGCGAATCGTCGGTTTTAGTTTTTAGGCTATTCGGAATCGATTTGGAAGAATGAATTTCATGATTGAAGCATTAAGTTGGAAAAGTTGACCAAGTTTGACTTTATAGTATTTGACCTAGGATTGGAGTTTTGATGGTTCCGTTAGGCCCGGATGGTGATTTTGGAGTCGAGCCTATGCCCGGATTTGCATTTGGATATTTTTAGAAGATTGCGGTACTAATTGGCGAAAATTGGAAATTTGAAGGTTTGGAAAGTTCATAAGTTTGACCGAGAGTTGACTTTGAGGATATCGGATTCGTATTGTGCTTCCAAGAATTGGAATAGCTTCGTTATGTCATTTGGGCCTTGTGTGCAAAATTTGAGTTCATTCCGAGTTGATTTGATATGTTTCGGCGCGAGTTTTGAAAGTTGAAAGTTCATTAAGTTTGATTTGAGGTGTGATTCATCATTTCGATGTTGTTATACGTGATTTGAGGCCTCGAGTAGGTCTGCGTTATGTTATAGGACTTGTTGGTATATTCGGCAGGTCCCGAGTGCCTCGGAAGAGTTTCAGACGAGGTTCAGATCGTTTGGATCATTCTTGGTAAAGGCTGAGGGCAGGTCTGTTTTGGTGCGACCGCATCTGCGGAGGGCTGATCGCAGATGTGACCCTTTGGTTGCAGAAGCAAAATCAGGCTAGAAGTGGCGAGCCGCAGAAGCGGAATGTGGGGCGCATCTGCGCGTCCGCAGAAGCGTAATTGCGAGCCGCACAAGCGGCGTGTGGCGCAGAAACGTGTGTGGTTGTCGCACCTGCATGTGCGCAGAAGCGGGGAAATTCTGCAGGTGCGATAGGCTAGTCTTCAGTGATTTCTCGCAGGTGCGAGTCGTTTGCCGCAGAAGCGGAGGTCACAGGTGCGACTACTTGTTCGCATCTGCGAAAGGTCTGAGCAGAAGCTATTAAATCGAGGGTTTGGTCATTTTATTCATATTTGGGCTATAGACCTCGAATTGAGACGATTTTGGAAGCGATTTTCACCATATGGATTGGGGTAAGTTTTCTCTACTCGGTTTTGATTTTATTTCATGAATCTATCTTCGTTTTTGGCATTTGATTGAGGATTTCAAGAGAGAAATTAGGGGGTTTTGTCTAAAGTTTCATAGAGTGAATTTTTGAGTTTTGGACATCGATTCGGAGTCGGATTTGAGTGAAACTAGTATGGTTGGACTCGTAATCGAATGGGTTATCGGATTTTTTAAGTTTTGTCGGGTTCTGAGTTGCGGGCCCGGGTTTGACGTTTTGGTTGACTTTGAGCTTTTGATTAAAGATTCGACCTTTATCATTTAGAATTGTTTCCTTAGGTATTATTTAATGTATTTGAGTTGCTTTTGGTTAGTTTCGAGCCGTTCGGAGGTCGGTACGCACGGGATGGCATTTTTAAAGTATTGTTTGGCTTGCTCGGTATTGGATTTGGTTTGTTCGAGGTAAGTAACACTTCTAAACTTGGTGCTGAGGGTATGAACCCCTGAATATACGTGATATGTGTTTGGTGTGGAGGTGACGCACATGCTAGGTAACGGGCATGTGGGCGTGGACCGTGTGACTTGTGACTCGGTTATTTCTATGGTACTATGTAGTTACCAAATCTTATTTGTATCTATGAAATCTCTATGTGCTAGAGTAATTGAGTTGTGATCCATGTTAGAAACCATGTCTAGGCTCTATGCTTATCCTGTTGGAACTCACTAAGGTCATTTCTGCTGTTGAGTTATTCGCGTACATTGCAATTACATACTCAGTCATACGCATTCATTTGCATATCATATCTCAGTCTTTGTTACCATTTATTGATACATCACATCATCATTTTGGGCTGATTTTCATGACATTGTGAGCCCGAGAGACTGGAGAGATTGATGACTGAGTGAGGCCGAGGGCCTGATTGTAAGGATGTTGATGGGATTGGGCTACATGCCACAGCAAGTATTATTGATTCATGATGGGATCGGGCAGCACGCCGCAACAGGTATTATTGATTCATGCCATGATTGGCTTATTATAGCGCTTGGGCTGGATTTGCCCCTCCGGAGTCTGCACACCCACAGTGAGCGCAAGTACCTACTGAGTGCGAGTGCCGAGCGCGAGTGTCGAGTGATTGGGAGGACTGAGTGACTGGGAGGACCGAGTGAATTGACACTTTGAGAGTATGCATATAGTTTTATCACTAAGTTGCATTGCATTCGACATGCACACTTGACATACTGGCATAGATATGTATTTTCCTCATGTTGTACGGTATTGCGTCATTCATGACTTCACATACCATTGACATATAGGCATAGAGATGTATTTTCCTCATGTCATTTGAAAATGAAACATTAACCTATTGAAAGTTTTGGGAAAAATCACATTTTTACAAACTCATATTTTAGTGATTTCGGTAAAAGATTTGGGTTTTCACTGATATACTTGAAAAGCATGCCTATTTTCCCGAACCGTGAATGAGCTGAGCATTTTATCTCCGAGTTACTTCTTTTATCACTTTATTATGTTATGAATTGGTGTTGGACTCCGACCTTTGTTCCAGCTCGTCACTACTTTCCACCTAAGGTTAGGTTTGTTACTTATTGAGTACATGGGGTCGGTTGTACTCATACTACACTTCTGCACCTTGCGTGCAGATGTTGAATGTTGATGTTGTTGTGTACGGCGGCAACTGGATTTGAATATGTACCTGCGTTCCAGTCATAGCTGCAACTTGATCTTGGTAGCTTTAGAATTTTAATCTATTCAAACAGATGATGTACTTTATTTCATACCAGCTTTGTAAATTATAAATCGTAGAAGCTCATGATTTGTACTACCAATCCTTGGGAAATGTATGAAGGTCTGTCTCAATAAATCTCATTAAATTAGATAGTTGTTAATTGGCTTACCTAGCGGGTTGGGTTAAGTGCCATCACAACTAGTTGAATTTTGGGTCGTGACAACACATCACCTGCAACTACTCAAAATAAGGACATTCAAGACCATTTGAATTATTTTACTACTCAAATTATCAGTTTTATTTAATTAACTTGGCTATTTATTATTTAGCCATAATAAAAGAAAATACTTATATTTTTTTAACTATGACTTGATAACTTTTTATTAACTAATCTGCAATAGTTTTATAATTTCACAATCAAAAAGATCGAAGCATTCTCCTATCCAAATGTTATGTGTATTAATCAAGAATAAAAAAGTATTTAAGAGAGAGAGAAGAAGAAGCAAGGTAGGAACTGCAATTGAACGACTATAACCTTGCGGAAATGAGAAATAAGTGTAACCTTTATAAATATATGCTAAGCAATTATGGGAAGCTCATGCTGGAATATAATGTTATACTCACCTAGATCATTATAGAAACGAACATCCACAGGTTTGTTTCCGAGGTCTTCTTGTTCTTGTTGAATCCGTGCAGCAGAAGCCTTGAGCTTGGGCTTGCAGTCTTTTAACACAACTAGTTGTAGTGAGTAAATCTCTGCAAACTCAATTGGTATCTCTTCCAAATATCTGCAATATTGAATCTGGAGGCGCTCCAGGACAGGAAAGCTGTCATTAGTGGCTTTCCAGTACTTGATTTTATGATGGTGAATTTGCAAAAGCTTCAACCGAGTAAATCCCCCAGGGCTTGGACACCATATTTCCCCTTTACAAGCATCTTCGTGCAGCTTCAGTCCCTCAAGGTTTGGCAGTTCACCTATGATGTTCAAGTCCTCCCACCGTAGATTAGTCCTCAGCAATGTTAACTTCTTGAGCGTTGCTGGAAAAACTTCTGCACTTGAAATGGTCATTGAAAAAACTTCATTCCAAGGTACATTAATTTCAAAACTCAGTGTTTCAAGTTGATGTAGATGGACAAGATTGTCGAAGAGTCTAGATTCTTGGCAAATTTGATATTCATCTTTCTCTCCAAAGATTCTTAATTTCTTAACATTCCGAATCCCTGAAATAACCTCCTCTGTGCAACTAGATGGACTCAAGCCGGAAATAGTTTGTATGTTTGAAAAACCCAAGTACCTCTCTTCATCAACAGATACACTTGGCGGATTCGGCAAATCAAGTGATTCCAGTTCGAGATGCCTTAATTCCGTTAGTTTCCAAATTTGCTCTGGCAAAGATGTGAAGAATGAAGCAATGAATGTTTGCAGATTCCATAACCTACAAAATTCTGGAGGTATATCAAAATACCCGGACAATGCTAGGTACCTCAACCAAATGAGGCATAGTATCTGTGCAGGGAAAATTGGAAGCTCTATGGGACTCAAGTCCAAGATTCTGAGTAAACTGAAATGAAAAAGCTTTGATGTGAGAGTAAAATATAGAGCAGATGAACTGTGAAAAAAGAAAATAGAACGAGTTTGTTTCAAGAGATTAATGTTGCCAGCATCATCTGTCTGCCTCCTTATCAAATGATGATGTCCTGGTGTAAGAAGGGCCTTGTAATAACCATAGTCACTTTCATCATCTTCAATCCGTCGCTTAAACGGCCCCATTATATGCTTCATCGGCCGGAATCTTTCGTTAGACAACATGTCACCATCTTCACCTTCATCCAAATCATTACCTTCATCCAAACCATTACCTTCATCCAAACAATCACCTTCATCCAAATCATCTTCCCATTCAGCATAATCATATTCATCTTTATCCAAATAATCATAATCATCCCAATTGTCATCTTCATCCAAATTATAATCTCCATTGTTATCAACATATACAATGTCATTCATGACAAAAACATTTTGGCTTTCAGCTAATTCTCTCAAACAAAGCTCATATATTAGATCATGAACCTTACATGATTTAATTTTTGATTCATCTAAACTTATATTGTTGACTAGAACTAGGCATCTGTCTATAAGATCGTGCAAACACTTCTCAGCCTCTCCTTCCAAGTCTTTTTCCAACTTCAGAAAGCCCCCAGCAGTCCATAATCTCACCAATCTCTTCACTGAAATCTCACTGTCTTCCGGGAAAATTCCAAAATACAGAAGGCATGCTTTTAGGTCACTAGTCAAGTGATTGTAACTCAACCCAAGCACATGTAAACATAGTTCATCTGGATCATTTTTGACAAATGACTTGACATCTTTTGCAACATTCTCCCAATCTTCTATTGTCCTTTCAGATTTGGACAGAATCCCAGCAACCACGACAATAGTTAGTGGTAACCCTTGACATTTGTCCACAATTTGCTTCCCAATAGCCTCAAATTCAGATGGTAATGCTTCGTTCGCAGACGCTGCACTTCTAAAAAGGTTCCAACTCTCATCTGGATGCATGAAATCCATCTGCAAAGAGAGATTCTCTGTACCAGCATAACAAGCTACTTCAGTGTCACGGGTAGTTAACAGTATTCGACTCCCATTGTTTTCACTTGGAAAGCATAGTCTCACATCATCCCATGCTTTACTCTTCCAAATGTCATCCAATACAATTAAATATCTCTTACCCTTTAAACTCTTTCGCAGCATGTCTGCTAGCTCTGGCTCATCTTCCTTGTAATATTTGTCATTCATTTCTTTTCTTGAACTCAGAAGGCTTAGCAAGATTTCCTTTACGTTGTGTTGGCTAGATACAGTAGCCCAGGAACGAACATCAAAATGAGACCGAATGGTGACATCATCGAAGACTTCTTTTGCTAAAGTTGTTTTACCAATACCCCCCATCCCGACGATCGGGATGACCTTGGGTTCACCAGAGAAGCCTCTAGTCAGATCTTCTAGCAACTGTTTCCTTTCATCATCACGTCCCAACATATTGTTCTCCACATTCGCTAAACTTGAATCTTGAACCAGCGATGGTTTGTTTGATGCTTGTTTGCCTTTGTCTTTAATCTTTGTTGACTCTTTTTGTACACGATCAATCTCCTGTGCTACTTGCTGCAGGCTATCACAAAGCCTCTCATGTGCCTTTTCTTTCTGCATTTCATCATATGCCTCTAAAGATTCAGTTAGTCTTAATTGAATTGTAAGTTCAACAAAATCTGCAACTTCTTTTATATGTGCTTCAAAATCTGTCATTTTTCCAGAAACATTGCTTTTCTCAAATTTCTTGGCACATACTTCCAGGGAACTAACTTTTTCATAAAGAGTGAGAAATTCTTCTCTGTGGTCACAAATTAGAGATTGCATTGGCGAATTGGATGTCAAGAGAAGTTCTATTGTTCTTGTAAGAGAAACAACACTAGCATAAGCCATATCTACTGTTTTCCAATTATGACCTGAAAGCTGCAAGTTGCAAGTTGCAAGAGGTCAATGGTATTAAAGATAACATGATTTGCAAAGTTGCAAACAGGGAGGCACGAACTAAATAAGATCAGGTAATTTAGTAGGCTTTGCCATCACAAGTTCAATCAAATGAAGAGTAAATGGAAACTAACCTTTCAATGGCAGATTGGCAAGTTGGAAGTAGCAATACCAGCTGCAAATTAAAAAGACAAAATATAATTAAGGAACAGACATATGACTTATGAGTATCAACAAACAAACAGGTAAAGCACAAAAGATAGAGTACACAACAAGATAAAATCAAAGAGAAAAATGGCATATATACCCCTGAGTGGCTGAAATGGTATGATCTGTAATCTATAGTTGCCAAGTAAGTTTATTAAAAATGGGATGAGAACTTCGATTAAGGTTTGCATATGGGGAAGCGGCGTTATTTGTTTTATCCGAGGAATGCATCACATCACATGCGCGGCAATTAATTATAGTACAAAATTTACTGCAAGACGGCCATGCATCTGACATCACACTAGGACCTAGGTATCTAACGACAAATTCTGCATTAACATTAGCTGTAAGTTTCGATGGGGAGTATTAATTAGTCAAGAAAATCTATATACCTATCTATATACTATCTATATAAAAGAGGGCACGAAAAAGATGACTTGGACCTCTCTTAAACCAAGAATTACATTTATCTTTTTTCTCAAATTTTTCAGTTTTTCCCTACTTTTTCTGCATATTCCCATCTATTATGTGATATTTAAAACAACCCAAAAGTCATGTCCCAGTCTCTTAATCACACCTCTACCGGAAAGTCACGTCCCACAATCTCCTCTACAATCCTAATTAACCATTCCATAGCTGTCTGTTTGCTTTCCGTTGCTGCCTGTCGTTTGCACTAGGCAATTTATTTAATTGAATTTATCAATTCATTATTGCTGACTGCCTTTCTAATAAACCCAAATAGCAGCAATTTATTTTTAGTAATCACCACAATTAATATTGCAAAACTCCTCAACTACTCTAAATATTGAATAATTAAGGGCATAAACTGATCCAACAACCAACATGGATGTGAAACAGAACACATGATCTAAAAATTTATAAAAACAAATACAGGTTCATATGCTTGAGGAGGCAATCAAACTGTAATCACCGAGAAGCAATTGCACTTCGCCTGCTAGCAAAACTCCATATTAAAGTTGGTTATTCGGAGGAAGCAACATTTTACTGAAGTTGGAATTATTCGGAGGAAGCAACATTTTACTACAAGGATTCAAGGAGGAGTGAAGATGTAGAACGGAGATCCAAATATCAAGTCTAAATGTTTGTGGGCAAACGTTATAAAGTTCCAAAGGCAATTAAAGATTGAAGAAAGGAAATGATATTCCAACGTTGGTAAAATGAAGAAGGACCTGGCGATATATATTAAGGAAAATGGAATATTGTGGTTCCGAAGAAGCGCTAGAGGAATACAGATCAAGAAATACACAAGCTATGGTCATTCCACAAATAGGTATTTGCTGAGTTTTGAAAAAATATCATTTCTTTCTTCTCATTTTTCTTATTTGGTTGTTGAGAAAATTGTCTAAGAAACTTGAAAAAAAAATGCAGGTTTTTTCTCGGTATATGAATAATTCTTATCCTTTGCAATATACCATTACTATGATTTTAAAAAAAAACAAATTATCTGCTTTTGGATGTTACACTTTTCATTTGTTTGGCGAAGAAATTTGTCGAGAAGAGTGGATATAATTATCGAATTGTTGATAACTTTGAAACTGGCTATTTGAATTGAAGAAGTTTCTCCACTTTGACACTGTAAATAATATCTTATATCAAAGAGCGCAAGTCTATTCGGGATGATAGTTAATGTGATAATTTTTAGTTTCCAAGATGTGAATAAAAGGGAGAAAGTTAAATTTAGAAATCATCCCCAAAGTTCTAGCAAGTTCAATTCTTGGAATGTCTCCAAGAACGGATAGGATGAAGTGACAACTATAAACAGTCATTTCTTCGAATCATTTCAGTTATATGCATAATATATTAGCATAATTCCATCCATTGAGTGAATATGTCCTCAACAAGTGCTATAAGGCTTCTCGCATATGAATTTTGGGATATCATCAATGTGAGGAAAAGCGATGCAGAAGCAGGCAATTTTTCTGCGTCCATACTAAAGTATGAGAAATATTGATTTTAATATCCATTTGTTACACGCATTATATATTGTGTTATTTTTCATGAATGTCTAATTTTTTTAAATATTTTTATAGGAAGAAGAATGGCTTTGAAAAAGCTAAGTTGAGACGTAGACCGTGACAGGTCATATGTGATTTTTGAACTATTAGATACCGTGGGATGAATTTGCCACCTGAAGTCCTGAATTGCTGATTGACGTAATCCAAAGAATAGAGGTCCGTGAGATCTCATGGCATGGTTTTTTGTTTTTCATTTCTTTTTTGTCTTCTTTCCTTTTTAGGTTGTTTTTTCTTTCCAAATTTTACTTTAGATAAATAAAAAATTATCAACCATATGAAAACAGAAGTTTCAACATTTTCTATAGATATTCTATGAAAAGAGCTTAGAGGAAGAAGAAAAAGAGTGGGCAATATGTCAGGTTTAAACCACCAAATATTATACGGGCAAGTTACACTATCTTTTCTCTATTTTATTGTTCTTAATTTTCAAGTTAAAAAGCACAATTTAAATGGATTGTCTTATATTTAAAATGAAATATTCCTCAGTAAAAGAGTCATGAAAAGTATAAAGTGACTTTTTCACAAAGTACAAAAGAATATTTGGACTCCTTTTATTTCCTTTTAAAACTTATGAAACTGATTTTTAGTCATATTTTATATCTATTATCATGATCGCGCGAAGCGCGGATAAATATACTAGTATACTATAAAAGAGGGGCAAAAAGTGCTGACATGGCACCTCTCAAAATCCTGGATTCATATTTATCTTTTTTCAGATTCTTTTGCTTTTTTATTCGTTTTTTTCATTTATCTGCTACTCCCTCCGTCTCAAATTATCGGTCATATTTCTCTTTTACACGACCCTTAAGAAACATTAATTAGAAGAGGTTTTGACTATTTAACTCTTATTTATGTCTTAATATATAATCTATCTTTATTGAATATTTATTCTATAATTACTATTAAGGGTAAAATGAGAAAAAAATAATTAATTTTGTCTTGAACTTCTAAAATGATAAATCATTTGAGACAACTATTTTTAGAAACTACACCATATAATTTGAGAAAGAGGGAGTACATAAATAATAAACTGAAAAGTTGTCACAATTAATTCTTATGCGTTATGACGTTTCCATCTTCTTGTAGCGGTTATCATTCCATGGAAGAGTCTTGGTGATTCAGAGGCCAGTTGGGCCAAACCACCTTAAGTGAACCCATCTGAAGTAGTATTCTTCATTCACTTGTATTGAGGCCCAAATGTAATTTAATGTGTACCCGGCCCACATGTATATAAATAGTTTTCTCTGTATATTGTAAAGACAGATGAATTCATTTTCTAATAAGAAGATTTCCTATTCCTCTCTCTTCATGCGACAGTTACCAAAGCTAGGGTTTAGCATCAGTGATTCATCTCGAATATGGATGTTTACATGGTATCAGAGCCATGAAACGGTAGATCGAAGCTAGTTACTTGGGTCTACAGTGGTCTTCTTCGATATTTTTGATGCTTTTCGATGGGCTGGTTGTTCGTCTGCGGTGTTTTTTTCCGACGATTTTTGGTGATTTCTTCTTTCCTGGCTGTTGTGGTACTGAAATTGATACACAAAATGCATGAAGTCCATGATGCCACATCAGCTGATGAGTAGACTAATTTGAAAGTTAGTTATGTTAGTTGTTAGTTAAAATTTGAATGTTAGCTTTTGGCGGGAAATTTGGTTAGCATGTTTTAGCTCATTTCCATTGCTTTGTTTTTGTAATTTCAGTAGACTATTAAGAAGTATAAATAGCAAGTTGTAATCTCCTATTAGGTACTTTTGAGTGTAATGAAAATTCGAAATCCCCTCTCATTGTTCTAGCCTTTTTCTGCCTTCTTCTCGATTCTATCTTCTTCTCCCTTCATTCTTCTTCTCTCTCTACTTAATTCTCTGTCAATTGTCGAGTAGATACCAATTTTGGTATCAATTGGTATCAGAGCTAAATCATGGGACCACGCAAAGCTGTTGATATGGCCTCTCTAGACTTGTAGGAGCAGTACGAAGATTTAGCTGCTCGGTAGTTGGATCTCCTTTCAATTCTCGATCAGAAGACACGGGAATTGCGAGCTGATATGGATCATCGTCATGCTGAAATGTTACAAATGGTTGGAGCCCTCAAAAACTCGATTGATGGAATGCAACTTCATCAACAGTCTCGCGATAGTAGTTCCACTTCAAATGCTCGAGATAATGTACTGCAATCAGGTCAGGGAATTTTAGGCCCCAATCCTTATCATGTTCATAACAGTCGAAGTCATAATCTACTGTTTCCTAGATTAAATGGTGAAAATTTGAAAAGCTGGCTATAGATTGATCAATACTTTGATGTTGATAATACTACTACGAATCAGAAGGTCAATATAGTTTCTATGAATTTGGATGATGATGCTCTAGCATGGCACCAGTCGTATATGAAATAAAGAGATTCACCTATCCTCCCTCAATGGGAGGAGTATATTGAGGCTTTGATTGAAACATTTAGTGAGGAATATACTGATCCTATGCTCGAACTGAAGCAGTTGAAGCAGACTAGTTCAGTGAAGGAGTTCCAATTTGCTTTTGCTAGGCTATTAGCTCAGTGTGATCTAACTGTTAGCCAGGCTATCTCTTGCTTTTTAGGAGGACTGAAGGAGGAATTAGTGAACCCTGTCAAAATGCATGAACCTCAGACCTTGTCCAAAACTTATCGCTTAGCTCGATTAGCTGAAGCAACCTTAGCTGCTAATGCTAGAGCTCTAAGGTGTAGCACTACTTCTGTGTCATCTACTCACCTCAAAAAGCCTTCTTATGAGCCATCTTCCCTCAAACACAATCCTAGTCCTATTACCTCCACTCATAGACTGCTTTACCTCCTTCAACCAGTGCTAATGTTCCTAGAAACAGAAGAACTATTTCTCCCGCAGAAATGCAGGCTAGAAGGGCACAGGGTCTTTGCTATTTTTGTGATGAGAAATACA